ACAAGGTCTCCCGGTTCATATGTGACGTGGCGGTGCTTGCTGTCGTAGCGGAGCTTTGAGCGGTCTTGCGATGCTATAGTACGCAGGCGGGCAAGACGCCGAGTTTCTTCTGCAAGGCATAGTGTTTCAGCTAATGAAGGATCGTCATTGTCATAAAACGAAAAGATAGTGTCCAGGGTATAACGAGGGGGTCGAACGTAAAGAAGGAAGAAAGGGCTGTGGCCGGTGGTTTCGTGTTGGGCAGTGTTGAAGGCATACGTGATGAACGGTAAGACGTCGTCCCAGTTCTTGTGATTGGACGCCACGTACATTGAAAGCATATTCACCAGTGTCCGGTTCGTTCGTTCAGTAAGGCCATTCGTCTGTGGATGGTAAGGTGTCGAATGACGAAGTTCCGAGCCACACATACGGAGCAGTTCCTCAACAACGTCTGCCGTAAACTGACGGCCGCGGTCGCTTATTATGACGCGAGGAGGTCCGTGGCGCAGTATGATAGAGTGCAGGAGAAAGGAGGATACTTCGCCAGCAGTCGCAGATGGCAGGGCGGCCGTTTTGCAGTAGCGGGTCAGGTAATCGGCGCACACTACAATCCAACGGTTGCCTTTTGCCGAGCGTGGAAAAGGGCCCACGAGGTCAATGCCAACTTGCTCAAAGGGAGTGCTGGGAGGCGTCACAGGCTGTAGAAGTCCAGCCGGAGCAGTCGTGACTGATTTGTGCGTCTGGCATTGAGTGCAACTGGCCACGTACTGCTCAACTGACTGGCGCATGCGTGGCCAGTAAAATCGCTCCTGTGTACGAAGGAGTGTTCGCGTCATTCCCAGGTGACCCGAAGTTGCGTCGTCGTGCATGGCGCGCAGAATGGAGGAACGGAGTGTGTGCGGCACCACCAGCAAGAAGCGGGAACCCGTGGCCGAGAAGGTCCTCTTGTAAAGTAATCCTTCACGAACGCAAAAGCGTCCAGCCATAGTGGACGCTCGTGCTTCAGCAAATAATGGCTCCAAGCTGACATCCTTCCGCTGTTCATTTTCAAAGGTGGTCTTGTCCGGGAATACTGGAGTCACTGACGCAATTAGGTGATCGAAATTGTCGGCATCGCAAAGTGTTGTAGTAAGCGGCATCCGCGAAAGGCAGTCAGCGTCAGCGTGCTTCCTGCCACTCTTGTATGACACCGTGAAGTCATACTCTTGCAAGCGGAGGGCCCAGCGTGCCAGGCGGCCAGATGGGTCTCGGAGGCTTACAAGCCAGCACAAGGAATGATGGTCTGTGACCACTTGGAAGGGACGACCGTACAGGTATGAACGGAATCGCTGTACAGCGAAGACGAGTGCCAAACATTCTTGCTCAGTCACTGTGTAATTCCGTTCTGGTTTACTTAAAGTTCTGCTGGCATACGCAATGACATGTTCCTTTCCACTGTGTCGTTGTACTAGAACTGCACCTATGCCAATGCCACTGGCGTCAGTATGAACTTCGGTCGGCGCCGAAGGGTCGAAGTGTCGGAGAATGGGCTGCGATGTGAGTAAGAACTTGAGTTGGTTGAAAGACGTCTCACAGTCATGTGTCCATTCAAAGCTAGTACCTTGACGTAGCAGACTGGTCAAGGGGAAGGCAACGTCGGCGAATGCGGGAATAAATCGGCGAAAGTACGAGCACAGGCCTAGGAAGCTGCGAAGCTCTTTCGTTGAGCGAGGTGGTTTGCACGCTTTCACAGCTGCTGTCTTGCTCGGGTCAGGCCTGATCCCATCTTTGTTCACAAGGTGCCCAAGTACTAAGGTTTGTCGCTCGCCGAAATGACACTTCTTCGAATTAAGAACAAGGCCAGCGTTTCTAATGCATTCCAGAACAATGTCCACGCGTTCGTTGTGCTCACGAAATGTGCGCCCAAAGATCACGATGTCATCTAGGTAGCACATACAGACGTTCCATTTTAGGCCACGCAGAATGGTATCCATGAACCTTTCGAATGTGGCAGGAGCATTACATAATCCAAACGGCATCACGTTAAATTCATAAAGTCCGTCTGGAGTTATGAAAGCAGTCTTTTCCTTGTCCGCTGGATGCATGGGAATCTGCCAGTAGCCTGAACGTAAATCGATAGACGAGAAGTATGACGCCGAATGGAGACAGTCCAAGGCGTCATCAATTCGTGGAAGAGGATAAACATCTTTCTTCGTGATGGAGTTCAAACGGCGATAGTCGACACAAAATCTCCAGGTACCGTCTTTCTTTTTCACAAGGATCACAGGAGCTGCCCAAGGGCTCGATGATTCTTGAATGATGCCCTTTTGGAGCATTTCACGCACTTGATTGTCTATTATCTTGCGCTCGGACGGCGATACTCGGTACGGTTTTTGTCGGATTGGCTGTGCTGTTTGTGTATTTATCCTATGGCGTATACGAAATGGAGGAATGGAAGGCGTAGGGTCACTCTGGGAGAAATCAAAACTTGCAAGTACTTTAACAAAACGTCCACAAGCATTCTGCGCTTGTCGGCAGTCAGCGCCTTATCAACCATAGGTAAAACTTTCGAACTGTCTGAGCAGGCGGTCACTTGTTCATCCCGTCGAACGTCACTGAGGACAGCTACTGTTGTTGGCGAGTATTCTTTAAACGACGCTAGCTTAAGTCCTCCTGGTAGCAGCACCGGTTCGTTTGAATAATTCGTTGTCCAAAGGTCTGAACGACCTTCACTCACTGAAACTATGCTGTGGGGTACCAACGTGTTCTTCTTTATACAACTTAGATGGAAAGGCTCCACTAGCGCATCGAAACTGGTCTTATTGTCGTTAATATGCGAAGAAGCTACTGGAACGCGCACAGCACAGAAGGCCGGGATAACGGTATCTTCATAGACTCGGAGCGCACCGCTTTCCGTACCCGAATTCTCGATAAGTCCATGAGGAACAGCGTCACTTATGATAACTTCGCCATTTCGACAGTCTACAGTGGCTCCGCACATTCGCAAGAAATCTATGCCTAGAATGATGTCATGAGTGCTCCGCGGAAGAACCGTGAATTCTGTCACAAACACTTGATCACTCAGTAACACTGCCGCGGTACAAACACCAATCGGACACAACGAGTTGCCGCCCACGCCACAGAACGTTATCGCTTTCCTCCAACAAAAAGGTCACCTTTCTTCCCAAACGAGCTTTGAACGCAGCACTCATGATCGACACGGCGGCTCCAGTGTCCACCAAAGCCATCGTATGTACACCATCAACAAAAACTTGCACTTTGTTTTTAAACATAAGCACCGGTGGAGGTATCTCTTCTTGCAGCGAATCACCAGCGACCTCACCCCCAGCGGCCGCGCTGCCTAGTTTTCCGGAGGCGGCGAAGGGTAGCGGCGCCTAGGAGACGGCGACCGATTGGAGCGAGGGGCTGGCGGGGGGTGTCAGACTGCGGTCAGAGGCTGGAGAACGGTTTCGCAGCGGCCTTGGTGTCTCGTAAGATGCGCTTCCAGGGAACGTTGGTGCTTGTGCAAAGTCGGACAGGTGGGATCTCGGTGGCCAGTCGTACCTCGGCGGCTGCCGGTAGTTACAGTACCTGGCAATGTGGCCTTCGACGCCACAGTTGTAGCAGATGGGTAGGGGTCGTTCGCCGAACCACTGCTGAGAGCGCTGGGCTGTGTAGGGTCGCCTAACCGAACGGGGTGGAGCAGATTGCTGAACGGGAGCTGCGCGCCTCTGTGGGGCGGGGCCGGGACGAAGACGTTGGTCATACGCTGGTCAGACGCGAATGAGTCTCGGCGTGGCCACGAAGCCCTAGCTTCGCGAACGTCTGTCACACATACTGATGGTGGCAGAGGAGGCGAACGGGCCGGGTAGTAGGATGAACAGGTAGGCGTATGGCGGATGGTGTCGTGGAACAGTGTGTCTTGTCGCTGTAGTTCTTCCCGCACTATTGTCCGGATAGTAGCGGCAAGGTCGGCGGGCGGGCTCACGTCGACGCTGGCGACCGTTGTTACATTTGCCAGCCTACCAAATTTCGGGGCAATACGACGGGTCTTTAGCTTCTCAAAAGTACGGCAGTGACGTTGGACGGCGGAGACGGAAGTGAGGTCTTCCCTGCCTATCAAAAAGTTGTAGACGTCCTCTGCTATACCCTTCAGAAGGTGGCCGACCATGTCCTCTTCAGTCATGTACGGGTCTATGATCTTGCAGAGCATCAGGACCTCCTCTATGTAGGTGGTACACGTTTCTCCAGGAGTCTGAGCTCTTTGAGCCAACGTGCGCTCCGCGCTCTTCTTTTTTGAATCAGAGTCGCCGAAGCATTTCTTGAGCTCTTCAGTGAAACGATCCCACGTTGTTAAGGAATCTTCGTGGTTTTCGTACCACATCAGAGCTGTTTCCGTGAGAAACAGCGCGACATTTCCCAGTTGGTCGGTGGCATCCCAGCAGTTGTACCGGCTCACCCTTTTGTACTGTGTCAGCCACGCATCCACATCTTCTCCTGCTCTTCCCGCGAACGGGCGGGGTTCCATATAGTGATATCGAGGTGCAGCTGGCACTGACCTTTGTGTGGTTGAGAAGGCGTGACCTTCGCTCTCGGCCATGGCAGTTGGTGTCGGTGGCAGACCGGCAATACGACGGCTCCGGCGAAGTTCGAACAGCTGTGGCTCCGTGGTTCGTCGACGTATACTGTACCCAGCACCTTCCACCACTCTGTACGCCTGAAGTAGGGGTACGGGGGTTTATTGAACGGAAGCTGGGATGGCGAGGCCGCACCGGATAAAACTGCCGAGAGATCTTCTTCTTCCCAAGTCCACACTTCTATTCCCTCTTATCAATCCGGCACATACACGTCGTAATAATATATATATATATATATATTGTAGAATCAACAGTCTTTTAGAAGCGTATGCGTCTTTTCTATTTGTTTTACGGCAACCAAAGCCAAACTCTTCATAATCTATATATATTTACTTCACTCAACAATACACAAATGAACTATGTTGGGTGTAACAAAAATGTTTATTAAAATATATAAATGGTCAAGTGCACATGACGTTTTACAGACAAGTGAAAGTACTGAACCGTCAAGGTTTTAAGGTGTTCAGCTTCCGCTTTTCGGCCACTTTCTTTTGGACAAGTTGATCGTTTTTAAGTTTACAATAGTTTTTCAGCAGAATGTCGGTTGCAGCACTAAGTAGGTGTTGTAGCACTAATCCTGGGCTGTGACCGCTATGACATTCCTCCAAATGGCCGCCCTCCATCAAGAGGTTGCACGTCAGCGAAAAAAGGACTTGCTTTTGATTGAGGAGTGCATGAAAGACCGTAGAATACTTGTTACTTCGTAGTTTGTCCAACACTATTTCGGCGGTCATAACAGCATTCATCACTGCAGGTTGGGGAAACTTAAGTCCTCCACGACTCATGCTCTCTATTACTTCTGCGTTTTCCAACACGATGTCCTCTTCTTCCACTAAGTTTGTTCTGCACGTAGTGCATGACAGCTTCTTAAGTGCCGCATGGGCACAATAGCCTGCGACGTATGTTATGGCAGGAAGATTAGGGGCCTTCATTTCAATGTCCTTAGCATTTACTTCAATTTTGAATTTCTGCAAAATGGCCTCTTCAAATTTGATTGGAGGCATTTCCGCATCCATCTCTGGCAACTTCAGGACACTCTGTAGACGAAGCTTGCGTTCGGATTCATATATCTGCCTAATGCAGACATGGTATTGAGACCCGGAAAGTTGTCGATACTTGCCAAATCTTTCCTCCAAACAGTCTGTCTGGAACTTGCCCAGGAGTACATAGTCAAATTCAAGATCTTCGAGGCAATATGCGACAAGCTTGATCAATGTCTCTGTAGTGAGTCGAAAAGCACTGTGGGTCTCCCGTGTGAGAATTCCGATATCTAACTTCAACTGTCCCCACACGTCAAGCCACTGCATGATGCTTCGAAGGAATTCCACTTGTGGGCACAATGTTTGCGTGATGGGAGTCTGCAGCACATCGCGAAGCCGTCGTCCTTTGTTGGGAGACTTAACATTACTAATCTTCCACCACGTTTCTACAATCCTTATGAACTCTGCAGTTCCAGGTGCGTGCTGCCAGTCATAGCGCTGGTCATATGTTTCTAAAGCAGCTGTCGTGGATGTATTAAACAGTTTCAGAGCAAGTTTAACATTCTGCCTCTCCATGCTAGAAGGATTGAGAGCTTTTATTGAGAGCATTGGAGCAGCCTTCACAAGTTGATCTTGTTCCTTTGAGTGAAGATCCCGGAGGGTCTTGAAAGATGCTGTGAAAATTTTCGGGCTGCCATGCAGATCCAGAAGAGAAGGAAAAAACATGCATGTGCCACTGTTCTTTTGATTAATCCAATTGTTACGAACACATTTTAACAGGTGAACGGGATCAACAACAAAAACAAGAGGACGTGTCGGATTTGATGGGTGCGGGTAGGAGCTGCTGACTTTTGATGAATTTCCAAAAAGAGACATTGTTCTGCGGTTTATAGAATTGTTATCCGTGATAACAGCAATGATGCGAAGACCAACTTTTTCAAGCTCACTTATGATGCTCCGGAAGACAGTGTGAAGCTGTTCAGCGTTGATTTTATCAACTGGCAAAATATGAAGAACACTTTTTTGAGCTGAAAGAAGGTTTTGCATCATAAATACATGTGCTGTCTTGGCTGCATTCGAAGTGTTACTGGCAACGCCGACGATTGTGCCACCTTTGTAATCCAAATACGGTTGTATATGGATTTCATCTATCATGAGTACCACAGTTTTTTCATGATCCTTCATTGCAGTCACGAGTTTCTTGCTTGGAACTGCGTCAGATCGAAGACGGGTAAGCCTCAGCTTTGCTTCAATTACTCTGCCTCTCTTTGTATCCACATAGCTTGTTGTGTTTACCATGTCGGATGGTCCGAAGAGGCGCTCGCAGACCTAGGATAATAAAAAAAGACAGAACAACATAGAATTTTAAGTTAAGAAGCAGTAGCTCATCTTCATGGCAGCAAAGTAATGGACACTTCGAATATTTCTCAAGATACCCGTGGTGCCGAATGTCATCTATACAAGATCACTCCCTCATATTTGCCACGCAAACATTCTTTTTAATCTAGAGTGGGCGTCCTCGTTATCTCTCACATCAATATCCCCGTGGTGTTATTCAATGCACAGGAAGTGTAGAAAACGGCACTTAATAGGAAAGTTAGCCTTACCACTGATCGCTTTCCTGGTGTGAAGTCCGCACGGTGAATAGCCTTAATCCACTGAGTTCTTCTTGTAGGGTCCGAGGGGAACGTGAACACACGCACAGATTCTCCACCGTCATAGTTCCCGCGGCACCGCGGTACACAGCAATGCCCAGGCATTATCACAGTTTGCCCACTCGACGCACACACTCTTGGTTAGACTCACTCATGCCATCGTTACTAAGGCAATATACCAACACTCTCGCCGATGCACAGAGCACGGAAACACACAAACACAGTTTTACAACGGAACAGCTCGAAAAATCAGCCCAACGCCACATGAACCGCGTGTCCACTGATGTTTATGGTCATGCGGATGCCTTCACCCCCTTTAGCATTGCGCTAAAATGTCAAAAATAGAAACAAAACGTGGCGTAAAACCCAACTTTAACGTTCAAAAAACTACGTTTACTGATACGCACGTGTTTCACGCAATAATGAATTAATTTTGAGGTCAAATTTTAAAGAAAAGCGCTACAGAGGGTTTTCTGAAATTCGGCACTGCGGCTTGTTTTATTTCGTGCGTGCGCAGTAGCGCAAATACCACAAAACCGGTCGGAGCGGGGCGGAACGATGGAGACGGGTTGCTTCGGAAGGGGAGCTTCCCGAAAGCGGGTCGAGAGACGGCGAAGCAGCTCCGTCGTAGGGTGGTGACGTAGGCGCTAAGAGGAGGAAGTGCAGAGGCCTTAGCTAGAGTGCCCTAGCCTTTTAGCTATTCTAGAGGGTGTTGCTCCAACGCTATGCAGCCGCAGCGTGGCCAGCACGTGACGAGAAAGGAGGAGCGCCTCCACGCAGAGAGAAGCAGATCGACATTTTAGAGAGAAGCAACACTCCATGGCAGCTTTTTGTTTTTATTTTTTTGCTCTCTTTGCGCGCGTTGTTGAAAAGAGAAGGGTCTACCTGGCACGGACGAGAAAAGGGGAAGCGTGGCATCGGCACGTGAGAGAAAGTCAACACTCCGCGACAGCTTTATTTCTTTTTTCTCTCTCTCTTGCGTGTGGCGTTAAAAAAAAAGGGAGGGGGGGGGGGATTCTTAAATTACAGAAAAGAAGATAAGATGAGCCCCCTAACAGTATGCATCTATGTGCGACACCTCAACAGTGGCTCACGAGGGAAGGGGTGCCACAGCTCGACCATCGCAGAAGACGCGTACCACAATTCGCATTCGTAAAAGCCGTCAAGCAAGTAGCAAGAAAGCCGCGCCATGGAACGCCGTCCTGCACGCGCCACGATGCTACGCCATCGGACCAGCAAGAGACTCGAGGGGCAGAGGAAGAGTCCGACGAAGTTGGAGTCAGCGAGGAGAGACATTTTTTTTTTTTTGGCTGACCATTTTTAGCTTTGAGTTTACGGGCACAAGTTCGCCCTAAATAAATAGTTTATATAGTACCAGGTGCTATATTTATTCGTAACAATCTGGTGGAGGTGCTGGGTATGATTCCAAGCCCACCACAGGCAAGGGAGAGAAGCCCAGATCCCAGAAGATTGGAGCCAGCAGAATTGACACCTGTGCACCAACGCACGAGTCGCCGACTACGTAATGAGCAGCCCAAGTTTGGCCCCCTAATTGACTCTTCAAGACCTGTCGAGACCTCAAGCACAAGCGTCACTGCGATGGCCACCCAGTCGATGCCATCTCCATCTCACCTCATTGTGGATTCGCCACGTACACCAGAGGTCTTCCACGGTGAGACCTTTGAAGACGCCGAGGACTGGCTTGAAGGCTTCGAGCGCGTTGCACGTTTGAATGGTTGGGACGAAGCCCGAAAACTTCGTTACGTTTACGTCGCCCTGCAAGATTCGGCATGTACGTGGTTTGAGAACCACGAAGCGTCCTTGCTGTCGTGGGACGACTTCCGACGAGAGCTAATCGCAACCTATCCGAACACGGACCGCAATGAGAAGGCAGAGGCTGCTCTTCAGGCGAGGAACCAACGGAATAACTAGAGCGTGGCCATGTACATAGAAGACATGTCACGGCTCTTCCACCGAGCCGACCAAAACATGGCCGAGAAGAAGAAGTTGCGGCACCTAATGCGCGGAGTAAAGGAAGAAATTTTTGCAGGCCTGGTGCGTAATCCACCGCGAACTGTGGCAGAGTTCCGGTCCGAGGCAACGACCATGGAAAGGACACTACAACAACGTGCGCGACTGTACAACAGAGACTTCAGCGTCTCTTCAGTCAGGGCGGAGTCAAAACCCTCCCCACCAACGTTGACGTCCTCCGGGAAATGGTGAGGGCTATTGTTAAGGAGGAGCTCCAGAAACTGCAACTCCCCCAAAGTCCTCCAGCGATGCCCTCAATAGCGGACGTTGTACGTGAAGAAGTGCGGCAAGCAATTATTCAACCGCAGCCTCAGGTGCCACACCACTTGCAACCGGAACCTCAGCCACAGCTGTCGTACGCGCAAGTCGTACGGCAAGACATGACACGCCCGAGCTTTGCACAAGCTCCCGTTATGCCACCGACCTTTCCTCGCAGTACGCCACCGCCGATGCCAGAAGCGAGACCCCGCAAAAGTGATGTATGGCGCACGGCAGACCGGCGGCCCCTCTGCTACCACTGTGGGGAGGCAGGTCATCTTTATCGGACATGCCACTACCGTCGGGTCGGGCTACGTGGCTTCCCAGTGAATTCACCCTGCCCTCGTAACGGTGAGCGCCCTTACGAAATTGAAGAATATTTATCTTCGCGCTATGCCTATCCAAACACTCAGCGACATGAATCGCGGTCGATTGCACCAATGCGCAATAGGTCGCCGAGTCCACACCCATCATCTACTTTCCCGCGGCGTCGTTCACCAAGCCCGCGACGGGAAAACTAGAACCAGCGACCTGTGGAGGCAGGGCCACTGATTTTCGGAAAACTGAAAACCCTCCATCGCTAACCGGGTCAGACGACGACACTGACACAACGACGGACAAGCGCAGTAGTGGTGACGTGACATCAGAGCTACAAGTCAGAATAGACGACGTCGAAACCATAGCGTTAATAGACACAGGTGCAGACTACTCAGTAATAAGTAGCATGCTCGCAAAGAAGCTGAAGAAAGTGCTCACTCATTGGACCAGACCGCAGATACGCACCGCCGGCGGGCATTTAGTCAGCCCCATAGGATTGTGCACAGCGAGAGTGGGAATAAGAGGCCATGTGTACGTCTGCTGTTTTATTGTTCTCCCTGAATGTTCCCGTGAGGCAATTCTGGGCGTGGACTTTCTGCAAGCAAACAGTGCCATCATCGACTTGCAGAAATCCCAAGTTTCTTTCTCTACAGAAAACGCTGTTGCCGTGTGTCATGCGGAGCAACCAATTGTTTCGTCTCTTCGTATTGTGGATGAAGGTGTGACAGTGCCACCACGTAGCAGCGTGACAGTTTCTGTGAAAAGCAACGTTTTTCGTGAATATGCTGGACTAGCTGATGGAAATATCGAACTGCCGCTCACAAAGGGGATACGCGTGGCGAGAGGTCTAGTGAACTTGCGGAACGGATATACTGATGTGCTATTGACTAACTTTACCAACGAGGTACAGCATGTGGTGAAGGGAGCAGCCATAGCATCACTTCATGACTACGTACAAGTCTCAGATGTTTGCACAATAGAAAAAGTACCTGCAACGCCCTCAACAGTAGACAGTGTCCTCGAGAAAATAGATATTGACCGAGAGCTTTCATCTCTGCAGAAAGACCAGATTGTGGAGTTGATTAAGGAATTCGCAGAGTGTTTTTCCTCTTCTTCGAAAGTCGGACGTACGCCTGTAGCAAAGCACCGCGTTGTAATCGAAGGGCATGTTAGACCAGTATGTCAGCATCCATACCGAGTAGCTCCAAAAAAAGGGAGGCGATAAAGAAGCAGGTACAGGAGATGCTTGACGACGATGTCATACAGCCCTCCAAAAGCCCATGGGCATCGCCGGTAGTACTGGTGAAGAAGAAGGACAACACCATGCGGTTCTGTGTTGATTACACAAAACTCAACCTCGTCACGAAGCGAGACGTGTACCCACTCCCACGAGTCGACGATACGTTGGATAAACTGCGCAATGCTCACTTTTTTTCATCGTTGGATCTAAAGAGCAGGTACTGGCAAATAGAAGTCGACGAACGAGATCGTGAAAAGGCGGCGTTTGTGACACCCGACGGACTCTACGAGTTCGAAGTACTCCCATTTGGTTTGTGTTCTGCTCCCGCTACCTTCCAGAGGATGATGGACACTGTGCTCTCCGGCCTCAAATGGCAGTCATGTCTTGTCTATCTGGATGACGTAGTAATTTTTTTCACTACGTTCGAGCAGCACGTACAGAGATTGAGAACGGTACTGGACGCTATTCG